ACATATAAATATGTTTTTACAAAAGCAATGTATATGTTTACTATGAAATAGGTGTTTGTATACATTTTTTTTTATAAATATGTGTTTGCATACAATTGTATTTATAATAAAATAAGTGTTCGTATACCTTTGTTTTTTTAAAATACATGTATGTATACATTTTTTTTATAAAAACTTATATGTATATATTAATATACTTAATAAATAAACGTTTTTATAGATAGGTATTTCGTATACAAAAAAGTTTTTAAAAAAAAGGTTTTTATATAGAAAATATAAGATTTTTTATGTGAAAATATGTTTTTTTTGTATAACTATGATTTTATAAAGAAAAAACATATTCGAAACAAAATTTTGAGAAAAAAATGAATTCACAACAAAATTCTAAATTTATGGCCAAAAGGGTAAATTTTGGACCAAATTTGTAATAAAATTTAAAATCTGGGCCAAAAGTGTAAATTTTGGCCTAAATTTGTAAGAAATTTTAAAATTTGGGCAAAAAATGTAATGTTTGAAAGTTGGATGACCTGTTGATTGGGTAAAAGAGTTAAATTGAATACAATTACTGGTTTTTGGGACTTAATTGAATAAAAAAAGATATTATGACCAAATCGATTATAAGACCAATATATAATGACTTTATTGCAGATTTCTCTTTATTATATTTTAAATTTATTATATATTTTCAACTATTTATTATTTTATTAGGTTTATTTTTTATATTATAATGTAACATTGGCGCACATATTTATTGTTAGAGTTGTTTTTTTTTTTTTCCTTTTCAATGCCTTCTGGATTTAAATCAGATAAATCACATATGCTAATATGAAAATTATAATCTTTTAGGGTTCTAGTTTTGAATTTTAAAAGAAAATCATAAAAACCTATCTAACCGAGCTTTAATTTGATTTTTAGATTGTATTATAATTTAGTTTGAACTATTCTTATTAATATTTTGACAAATGAAATCTATTTTGATTCATTAAATTGGATAGGATTGAACCGATCTATCCAAATGAACATTTTTTATTTTACTCTTCTTGTCTGAACGGTGGAATTTTTATTAAAAAATAGTAAGACGTTAGAAAGAGAACATTACAATAAAGTAGAAGCTAAACTAAGATTATGGAGCCAAGAAGTCTAAGCTAACTTAATTTTCCTATACGTATTGAAAAAAAACCTATCAACCACGTCATAAAAAATGAAAGATTTCTTCGTTTCAACGTTCCAAAAAGAATAGAATTACGAAAATTCCAGAGACACCCAAACGAAGTCCACAAAACAGCCTCAAAAGCCTTCCTTTTCCCTTAGTCAGCATGAATGTATCTAACCAAGAAATCAAAGACCGAATGGAAACCAGATCCGGAATGCAAACACCTCCACCAAATAGCGATACGAGTCCACAAAGAATAATATCATTACATCCTGTGAAAAGGTGATCAACCGTTTCAACTGAAAGAGAACAAACTGGAAACATAATTGAATCCACCTTAATCCCTCTCTTTGACACTCTCTCTCTAGTAGGGATGCTAAATTACCACAAACTCGAAATACAAATATTCACTTTAATAGGAATCCAATTATTCCACCGAGTCTCCAAACCTCCCGAAAACAACATCTCGTTATCCTAAAAAGATCACCAGAAGAGACCGAAAAGGAATCAGAGACATCAAGCAACCATCCAAGTTTATCTGGTCTATTGTCCAACTGAAGATCACGTAATAAACTCGTGAACTCATTCCATTGAGTTTACTCCACACCTCCTTTGGGACTGCGTATAAAGGACTCAATCTTCAAACAAATCAACATATGGTCTCTAACTGAAGCCTTCCTATGCAAACCTTACCGCAAGGGGCGAACTACGTTGCCATACATCCAACCAGAAAGAATTATATCTCCCGTCTCCCACACGAATCAGACAAAAAGACTGAAGGTCTAGATCACGAATCTGTAGGATACTCAACATACAGATAATACTATTCCAAGGACCCAACCTAACACTTTTCAGATTAATGGAGGAGCAATCACCGTTTGTACCATAAATACCTTTGACCATTCTAACCTACATCAGATATGGGGAATGGTAAAAACACTAATCCAACCTGAAAAGTATAACCCTATTAAAAGAAAAAAGATCCATACATCCAAACCGCCCACACCTCTACTGGAAAACACTCCATCTCATCTTACCCAATGCATACACCTATCATCGAGAACCTCTCCCCAAAAGAATCTAGCTCTAAGCATCTCCAAATGTCCAATAACCGAAACGGGAACAAGAAAGATAGACATCAAATAACTACCCAGACTTCCTAAAATAGATTTTAACATAATAAGTCTTCCAGCAAAAAATAGGAATTTTGCCTACCAACCCTACAATCTATTCCGAAAACAATCAATAAAAGACATGCGCACCTAGATGAACAATCATAAGAGAATATGCCACACATCCCACATGCTCCACAACAGCCTCAACCTGCGAAAAAGGTATCTCACACCAATCAATTTGCTTTTGAGCAAATTGATTCTCAGACCCGAAGCAAGCTAGAAGCATAACATAATATGAACATTATTGTTGGAATCCTCATGATCCCACTCTACCAAAAGCACCACATTATCCGCATACAATAAATAAGAGATCTCGATGATGAGTTTTCTAGGTTACAATAAAACATAAAACAATGCAGCGGAATTCATAAAACAATTTGTAGACACATGCAACCTAGAGATCTATGGCATTTTCTCATTATAGCAACATACTATGGAAAACCGATCTAATCTATCTATCAACAATAATAAATCATATTAGTAAAAGACCTTTTACTACAAACGATTATACTAACGCTTGAGTCTGCAAAAACTCCATGGAAAGCAAGCACCAATAATTTGGATGCCTCTAATGGTTCACACCAAAAAACCCTAGAACACTAGAAATCAAGAGGAGAGAGGATAAGAAGTACGAAATTTAGATTTCATCCTTCCAAGAGGCTTAGCCACGAAATTATGATGCCAAAGGGTATTATTTATAACTATTGGATCTCCGGGATAAACCCTAATTTGAATAATTAAATATTGAAATTCAATATATTCAATGCAATTATCTTTATCAGTTACTAGGAGGCTTCCAGAACCCTTCCAAAGTCCTATGAAACCGTCCACCCCATATGAACCATCTAGATTTCCCTTCCTTGCTCAGTAATGAATAAATACAATTCAGCCATTGCACCTTTAATTACTTCTAATTAATTCCTAATTAATTTCAGATTAATTCTTGTTAATAATTAATTAATTAATTCCAATAATTTCTAATTAATTTATTAATCATATAATAAATTAACAAGTCTTTTTATCTCTCTCCTAAAGTCATTTCTAGCTATTTCTAGTTATTGAGGGCACTACAAAAATGACTTTACTTTTATTCCATAAAGTTATACCAATTTAGTTATGACCTTAGACACTTATTGCAACAGTCTCCCACTTGGACAAATTGTCAACTACAATTGCAAATATAAATTTGAATAACTAGCAAAGTGTGCCTTCCACAACCACTGTCGAACTCTGAAATAATCAAATGTTGGCCCTTAGATAAGTGATCAACTATTCCTTCATTCTACAAGATATCATATAGACGCGAGATTTGGGTACAAGTAAATCTTATAGTCCATGATTTTGTTTCCCAATTTTTGATTTATGATGGCTAAATTCAGACTACAAATTGAACACATCAATTTAGTCTGAACTAGGCCTATACATTAAATTTAATATCAAATCACCAAGGGGCCCAAAGATATAGCTTTTTCATATTAAGGCAAAAGGAAGAATAAACTTCAACTACATAATTATAACCTTTACTCATCATGCCATGCATGGAACTACATTTTATAACATCCATTTGTGGTTACATTTATGTAATACCAATGTACAACATATTTGTAAACTATGACTTATGCATCTCTGCTTGAAGAATAGAAGATATTATCCTCTCAGAATTACTCATGATAAAATCCATGAAGTATCGCTAAGCATGTGAGTTGTTCCGATATTTAAAAATCTCATTTTAAATACTCATGAGTATTAGAAGCAATCTCCATGCCATGCCCAATCACAATGGTCAATCTACTAATACTCAATGACAATCTTATTTAAGTGCTGACTCCCAAGAGTACGAACGATTATGGAGTTTTAAGTAAATTAATTACTCCAGAAGAGGGGATCTAAACATACAAAATTGAAAGACAATAATAAACTAATTGTCTATGGTATCATACTCTTGAATATAAATGAATCCCCATTATTTAATCACTGTAACGATTACATATTTGTTATTTGTATGAATGTTTTCGGGTAATCGACTAAACAACTAAACTTTCCATTATTTTTCATGCATATTCCTTTAG